GAACCAGCAGGCTGAGGAACCGACCAGAACCAGCAGGCTGAGGAACGGATCGGAACCAGCAGGCTGAAGAACCGATCAGAACCAGCAGGCTGAGGAACCGACCAGAACCAGCAGGCTGAGGAACGGATCAGAACCAGCAGGCTGAGGAACCGACCAGAACCAGCAGGCTGAGGAACCGACCAGAACCAGCAGGCTGAGGAACGGATCAGAACCAAGCAAAGCAGGTGAACCTCGGTGTACATCTTGTCCGTCACCTTTGGCAAGTTTGAGTGTTTGGGTTTGAGTCCTGCTGTGAACTCTGAGGTCCAGCAGCGCGGCGGGTCGGACCGGGTCGGGTCGGGCTCGCCGTCCTCGCTCCGTCATCAGATCACAAACGATGATTTGTGTCGGAAATCCCCCTGCAGAGAGGACAGGACTTGTCATGTTCTGAGCCAGAACCTCTGCTTCACTAAACGGTTCTGTGGGTTCATCATCAGCTCCTAACGGGTCACCCAGACCAGAACCAGCTGCTGTTCTGAAACTCAGACCGGCTACAGCAGACTGTGAGGTCCCATGAGGCGGTACTGACCTCGTCCTCGGTCCGGACGTAGTCCACTCCGTCTCCTTTGGAGGGAACTTTGTAACTGGGAACAGAGAGCAGAGTTATTCCAGTGCGGCTCTGTGGGCCTTACTGGGAGGCAGACTGGTTTCCTACCTGCTTCCTGGCTGTTTCTGGCTGGAGAAGTATCCCTGTTTGTAGGCGCAGCAGATTCCCACCGTTATGCAGAGGAGCACCACCACCACCACCAGCACTCCCAGTACGATCCCCACCACGTCTATGTCATCTGCAGGGGCAGAGCCAGCGGTCAGAAGATCAACGCCTGCTGAGCTGAGAGCTGCTGACGGAGGAGACACTTACACACTTCCATCTTCTGGGGGGGGCACTGGGCGTGTCCCGCGTCGTTCTTGGCCCGGCAGAAATATTCTCCGGCATCTTCTTTCCTGACGGCGCTGAATCTCTGCAGAGGAGGAGGGAAATCTGAGCTTCGGTGAAGGCGGGTAAAGTGGGACGCTTTTTAAAAATGTAGCTTCTGTGGTTTTTGTTAAGAGCCTGTTTCATTTCTACAGCTAGAGCCATGATACATTTTTAAAAACCTCACCTCCTTCACATCAAGAGACATTTTAAAGACAGATTTTAGTATTATCCTAAAGTCCTGAGCGACTGGTGGAAAAAAGGAGAAATAGAGCTTGGAGCAACTGACACAAAGCTGCTGACTGTAAACAGTTCATCATGACCTATTATATATCATCACCAATCATTTTAGAAAAGCTTTCTGAAGCGCAGACATTTTAAACACCTGGCTGGACCGATCCATAATGCCAGCATGCTTTAAGTCTGCCACCATTATTCCGGTTCCAAAGAAGCCTCAGGTCACCTCACTCAGTGACTAGTGACTCCCATCATGATGAAGTGCTTCCAAAGGCTGGTTAAAGAACACATCGTCTCCAGTCTGCCGGCAACATTCCACCCGTTCCAGTTCGCCTACCGATGGAACCGCTCTACTGAGGACGCCATCTCTGCTGCTCTCCACCTGAGCCTGGCACACCTGGAGGAGAAGAACAGCCACAGATGCTGCGGATGCTGTTCCTGGACTTCAGTTCAGCTTTAAATGCACGACTGCGTCCCCAGGTTCACCACCGATCA